GTGAAACACCCTGTCCCACCCACAGTACGCATACTTCAGGATGGGGGTCCAGCAGAAGGAGATGGTGAAGGCCCGGCTTTTTCGAATGCCCTTTGCCGAGCTCAGAAACCGGCACATCTTCTTGGAGCGCCGGGGGCTCTATGAGACCCCACACAAAGGCCAGACCCAAACCAGCAACCCAAAGCTGAAGGACATCCTTCAGCTTCCAGAGAAAGACTTCCTGGCCAGTCTGGCCCTGTCCACCTCAGAGGAGTACGAGGTCTTCAAGAAGCTGCTGGCTCAAGAAAGGGAGGAAGAAGAGGAGGAGCACAGGGATGCCCTATACACAACAGAATACGAAGACTTGGCCAGTGAAGGAAGTAATCAAGCCTGGAACTGAGATGAGGCTCCACAGTACCCAGGCTGCCCTGTGCTGGTGCATTCCACAGCCCCACTGCACTCATAGGTGTTGTGGGCTTCCACACAACACAGGTCTGAGCCATGGTGACTGCAGGGCCTCAGTGAGGGGCAGCAATAAATCCTGTATATCAGAATGCAACACTGACCCTCGTTCTTCCTTATTGACCAACTACTTTATCCAGTTTCCATAAGTTTTTATTAAAAAAAAATCAAACCAAAATAACTAATTTATTGACAAGGCTGGTTGCATTACATATTATGGAGGATATAGGGTGGGAGGCAGCAGGGCCACACTTCCCCTTGCTGTGGTGACAGGCCCCATGGCAGTGCTGGCTGTGCCCAGGGACTGTGGTGAAATATGACTGTCCCAGAGTAGGGTCACCTCCACAGCCTGTGCTGGCACTGGTTTCATGACTGACCCGGCTGGAGTACAAAGGCTTTTTGACAACAACCCCAAACCCTTCCCCTCCCTCGTGGACAGGAGAGGCTGGTCTGGCTTTCCCCTTGCCCTGCTCTTCCAGGCAAGGGCTGGCTTCTTCTCCTGCCCTGGGTAGGAAATACTCTTGTGCTCACCTTGCAGCAGAGACTGGAACAGGATCAGGCAGCCTTGGAGGAAAAGTGAGACATGTTCATCTCCAACTGATTCTCTTCTGGCAGCAAAGCTAGAGCCTGTGTAGGAGGGGAGCATCACAGGGGCCAGATGGTCATGGCTTTACATTGGCCCTGTTGCTCCTAGATGCCTCAGCAGCCACTCCTCGAGGCCAAGCACTCTTACTGCTCCCAGGAGCACCAAAACTCCTAGGACTGTTCTGCTCCAAGAGCATCTTCCAGGCTGCAGCTCAGCATGTGTGGCTGAACAACAAAGTGCCCTGCAATGCTTGCTGGAGGGGCAGGCTGCCTCACCAGGGTACCCCGCACACACACTGACAGGGAAATAACGCTCTATACCATAACTGCGATATATCTCTGGTATGTATTAATTTATAATATACAATGTGTATGTTAATACACAAATCTATGTTTAACTAGCGTTGTCATACAAATTCACAAAATCTAGGAGTGTTTCTAAGCTACGCTTTTTCCTTGCCTGCCTTGCCACAGCCCATGGGGCAGCCACTGCATACCAGTACTCTCCACAAACAACACAGCACTGGAACCTCAGCCCCAGCTGGTGCCAGGGGGTATACAAGCCCTTTGAGCAGCTCAGGGGAATGGCACACAGAGCTTGCTTCCTCACTGAGCCCATGCTGTGCCCTGCACTGTCTTGGAAGTGATCAGTGACAGAACAGGTGGGGTGTTACACCTCAGCTGACAAACTTCACCCTGCAGATCAGTTTAAAAATTCTTTCTAGGTGCTCTGTTGCTTTCTGAGATGGAATTTTGGTTAAAACCAGGGACTACTTACAAAGCAAAGAAAAAGGGCAGGCAGTAGAAGCTGCCTCAATTTCCCCTGTGAGATCAGAGGAGACAGGGATGTGCCCCCACTGCCTGTGCTTGCCTCCCTGCCCACTAGCTCATCTACATAGGGAAGGTCTCCTCCAACCAGATTTTTGTGAGCCACAGTTCAGGTGATAGCTAAGGCTTTTAGTCTGCATTAAACTGTTTTATTTGGGAGTCAGGTAATTTATAACCTCGGATTACGAGAAGAGGCTGGTGCAGATGCTAGTGACAATGCCTGAGCAGAGCTGGGAGCCTGTCACTCATGCAGAGCAGCTGGGTGGGCTGAGCAGGGCTGCCTCTCGAGGCGCAGTCAGCCAGCCATTGCAGTACACTGGCATTCGGCTCCTTGGGGGTAGAGAGGCAGCTGGAGTAAGGCAAACAGAGCAAAGGCAGTGCTGGTCCAGCGGAGGGAAGGGAACGCTGCTCCACGCACCAGTCTGGCTGCGTGTCCCTAACGGGCTGGAGGAGAAGGAGAGACTGACACCAGGCAGGAAGGTTCCTCTGCTGTGTTTAAGCTAGTAAGCTGATGTGATCTTCCTCATGTTTCAAACGCCCTTAGATGTGGAAAGACGAAGCTTCTACTGCTTTGAACCCTGTGAAGGAGCAGAAGAAGAATGAGCTGGCTTGCAGAGGCCCCCAAAAGCCCCACAGCCGCCTCTCCCCACTCTGTGTGCCCAGCTCAGCCTGGGAGAAGGGAACCTGCCCCCTCCAGGGCTCCAGCCTTTGCCTTGCAACAGGCAGGCAGTGCTTGGGCCCCTCTCTGTGCAGGAGTCTCTTGTTCACAGGGCTGCAGAGGTGTGGGGAAGCAGAGCATTGCCTTCTGCTCCTTCCCCACCCCAGCCACAGCCAGGAGCCTGATCAGCAGAGCACCTGGAGAACCCTCACACCTCTTTAACATGGCAGCATGAGCGTGGGCTCTGGCCTCCAACTTTCTCCTCACGAACCAAAAGCACAACCAAAAGCAGGAGACTGTCTCTGCCCACAGCTAAGGAAGGCCTGGAACAGGTACTTACTCTACAGCTTCTTCAGTGTGTGACTGTTGCTTGGTTTTCTGAAAGAGAAGAGAGCACCATCAGTCTTGTGCCCCTTGACTGTCACTCACAAGGAGGGCACCCAGAGCTGGTATCTGAGCCTTGATCATGTGATCTTTGTATTCTGTTCTACATGGGGCACCTACACCCCTCTCCTAGTCCACCTCCAGCCTAGGTACCCCTGCACATACTGGGTGACACCAGCTGGCTGCATCCTCCTGTCCTGGGCCACAGAAAGGCCAGCATGCTCAGTTGTACCTGCTGGTTGTCTTCTTGGAACTGGTGCTCTCACAGCTCTCCTTGTAGCAGACATCCTGCTGTACCTCGCAGATTCTCCTGTACCTACACATACATTAGAGTAGCAAGTTGTAGGAAGTAACAGGGACAGATTTGCTTTTATGAGTGTGAAGGGGGGAGTCTGGGGGGTCTACTGGAGAGATTCCAACAGAAAGCTATGAAGATGATTAAGGGACTTGAAATCTATCCTATGAAGAAAGACAGAGAACACGGGGTGTTTAGTCTTGAGAAGAGAAGGCTGAGAAGGGATCTTATTAATGTTTATAAATACCTGAGGGGTGGGTGTCAAGAGGAAGGGGACAGTCTCTTTTCAATGGTGCCCAGTAATAGGACAAGAAATAACTGGTGTAGGCTAGAACATGAAAAGTTCCACTTCAACATGAGGAGAAACTTCTTCACTGTGAGGGTGATGGAGCACTGGCACAGGCTGCCCAGAGAGGCTGTGTACCCTCTGCCTCTGGAGACTTTCAAAACCCACCTGGATGAGTTCCTCTGTGGCCTGCCCAAGGTGACCCGGTTTTGTTGGAGGGTTGGACTAGATGATCTCTAAAGATCCTTTCCAACTTCTTCAAGGCTGCAGTAGCTTGCCTTTGCAAGAATAGGGCTGAGCCTGCTATGCCCAAGAGAAGACCCCCAGACATCTAGGTCCTTATGCCTCCATCATATGAAAGCTGGAGGTGGCAGGGGCCAGAGCAGAAGCCTCCATGCCCTTTCATTGCAGCAGGCCTAGCCCCAGCCCTCTGCTTGCGGGTGAAGAGGCCGCTAGGTGCTAGGCTGGCAGGCAGAGGATTTACTGCTGCTTGGGGGTCATACACGCCAAATCAAACCTTGCTGCTACATAAGTGGGGAATGCTTATTACAGGGCTGTCATTTCAGCAACACCCTGCCCTGAAACACAGTCCTGGGAGTTGAGGGTACATAAATCTGCTCAGCCTGTGCTGGGGACGGGGCAGCTGCAGCCACCTGGCAGCTGCCAGACAGGGTCTGAGATGGCCTCATGCTTACTCTCCCTTCCCTGGAGCTGAGTTGTGGGGTGGCATCCCTGTCTCTGAACATAAAGGGAAGAGGTGAGCACAACCCACAGGCAGTACTCACAGGTAGTGGCAGGTGCCTCCTTCCCACACAGGGAATGACTTGGTTTTGAGTACACTCACGTGCACAACTGTTGAGTCTTGTTACAGACTGCTTGAGGAACACAAGAGGGGAGCTATCAACAAGCCTGTCTCTTGCCCTGCCTGCCTGTACCTCATGGCAAGGGGCCAGTCAGGCCCCCTCAGCTTCTCCTCTGCAGTTCTCGTGGGATGGGCTCAACAGAGCTAACCCACCAGGAAATGCAAAGTGCCCTGCCTCATAGTGCCCAGATAACTACTACATGGGCAGAAGAGCCTGGCTTGCCAGGCTGGCTGGCAGAGGGCTCAGCTAGAAGTAGGGAGCAGACGTCTGCTCCCAGATCTGGCCAAACTAGCAAGAGCAGTGCCCAGCTCCTCTCTCCACTGTTGGTACAGCACAACAGTCTAGTGGGTGGGAGACCCCTCAGCCAGGAGGAGCTGGGTTCTGACACAGTATGCTCAGTGGCCTGCAACCTGTGACTGGGACAGCTTGCCAGACTAGGCACATGTCTTCTGCCTGCAGGAGAGAGCTCAGCCCTCCAGCAGCAGTGCAGCACTCACCCAGCTCACAGAGCTGGCCCTTGAATCCCAGGCGGCAGTTGCAGTGGTAGGACTCAGCATCCCTGGTGCAGGTGCCTCCATTCCTGCAGGGGTTCATGAAGCAGTTCTGCCCCTTACCTGCAAAATATGTATAGCTCTCATGTCCTACAACCACAAAGCAGCCCTGTCCACCCTACCCAGCATGCTAGGGTGCTCCTGAGGAGAGCTGTAAGTGAGCAGAGATGGGGCAGCCAGCATGGACTTATGCCATAGCCCTTGTGTGTTTTCTGGCAGGACAACATGAGAATAGGCTGGTGCTGAGCTCTCTACCTGTCTGCAGGGCCTGGGCTGGGTCTCTGCTGCTCACGTGTCTCCTCCTGGACTTACTCTTGCTCTTTGCCTCGCGAAACTGCAGTGCCAGACTGTCCTGGCTGGACATCTCCACATTCTCCAGCTTCACTGGAACCTCTGGCTCTGGGCAACAAGAGGGTCAAGTGTCACCTTCGGCCAGGACCAGATCAAAAGGTAGCCCCTCCAATAAGATTCAGCCTGCTCACAGTATTGGGGGCTAATCAAGCCCAAGTCAGTGGTTTAGCCCTTCCCAGCTGGCACCTCTAGAATTAGTGTGACTGCCTCATGTTTCATGGAATGATGCAGGACATGGAACCTTGGGGAGGCAGGGACAGAGTGGAGATGTTCAGGGAGTCCTAGGCACGCTCCTCAAATGTGACACCGTGCTTGGAAGTGAGGGCTGAGGCTGCTGGGCAGGCAGGGGCTGCACTAGAGGACTACAGCATCACTGCCTGTGTGCCCGCTGCTGGCAAGGGAGAAAGCTAGTCCACAGTGCAGCCAGCATCACCTTCCATCAGCAAGGGTCTCTCTCGAGGCACCCTGACTGGCTACGTCACTCCTCCCTCTGGGCAGGGGTCTAGGCAAGCAGGGCAAACTTTTGTCTGCCCAGGGAGAGGCGAGAGGGCTCTACCCTACAAGAGCCTGCCCAGCTGTCACCTTGACTTGGGGGGAGGTGTTAGAGATACTACTTGGTGACAAGAGGGGATCAGAAAGGCAGCAGAGCACTTACGCGTCTTTACAGTGATGGATTTTCCCAGGGCAGTGCTGAACCTGGTGTTGATCCTCCCTCTGCCATCCACCAGCTCAGTGAACCTGGGACAGAAAAGCCATGAGGGTACAGGGCACAGCCCAGGCCATAGCTACCTAGGGCTGGAGGCAGCCAGATAAAGCACTTGCTGGTCCATGCAAGTCCTGTGTGCTCAGCTTGATGCTTAGGCAGAACGCTGGCCCAGGAGCCAGTACTGGAGCAGTTCCTACCTGGGGGCTGGTGAAGGCTCCTCAGCTGTGTTATGATCACCTAGCAAGTGGAGTTCAGGTAGGAAAGCTGGGGGCAGCCTGTTGCGCAGGACCCGGAGGTGTCCAGCTTGGCTTCGCCTCTCTGGAGCCCCATCCCTCTGCACTGCAGATCAAAGCATTAGGCTTAGTAGGAAGCAGGCTATGAGTCAGCACAGCAACCCATCTTCCAGCCAGTCCCCAGGCTGCCATTTAGGGCTGTCTAGGGACACGTGCACTCTCCACTGCCTGGGCTGAGTGCCAGTCCTCATGAAGCATCACCAAGCTGAAACTCTGCATCTGCCCTCCATCAATGGAGACAGCACCCTGCAACCCCCACCTCCCTTTGCAGTGGACCTGCATCCTGTCTTCGCAGACTGCTGCAGACACCTTGTTCTGGGGCAGCAAATGCTGCTGGGCTTGTTACTTTATTGGTCAACTAGTTTCCTATCCCCTGCCCTGCTTCATTAGCCCATGATCTCCCTCATGCTGCAGCAAAACAGCAGCACCCAAGCCCTCATGAGCCAGGCACTCACAGGTGGTGATGTAGAGGTGGATGGGCTCGCTGTGCACTTGGCCTTGCTCTGTGTTCTGCACAGCTGTCACAGATAGGCGGTACCGCTGCCAGGGGAGTAGGTCCCGTACGATGTAGGATACGAGCTTCCCATTGGGCACATAACGGCTCTTCACACTCTGAGCGGTAGTGACATTGATGATGTACCCCTCCACGGCCCCAGTAGGTGGCTGCTCCCATGCCATAGACACAGAGGTGGCGGTGACACGGGAGGCAGTGAGATTTTGCGGAGGTAGAGGCCCTGGGACAGGCAGGAGGTTGGGAGAGAAGGGGTCAACACTGATGTGCTTGAATGGTTACAGCCCTACTGACTCACATGCCACCTTATAGCCTGCCAGAACCCCACCTTACCTGGCCAGCCCTCAGTCCAGCTCTATTTGTGCAGTGCACTGGGAGGGGATGCTCAGCACTGGGTCCCTGCCAAGGCAGGCAGGGTCTCACTGCACTTGGGTCTGGCCCTCACCCTCCAGCAGGGGATGAATCAGGCCCATGTACGCTCTGCATGGGCATGATCTCTGGTCTTAGGTAGTGAACATCTGGCAGGGGATGACAGGCCACTGCCTTGCCTGCCCTTTATGAGGGCTCCCTACATGCCTCCTACCTGCTGTGCTGGCCAAACAGGCTAATAGCTTTCGCACCTTGTGCTCTCTGCAGCTTTCCTGCTAGCCGCAAGCCATGGCCACGAGCCTATGCCTGCCAAGTCCCAGGGCCCATGCAGTAGCAGAAGGTGGCAAAAGGAACACCACTCACTAGTCCACACATGGAAGGGGGCTGTGGCCAGACTCTCCGAGGGGTGGTCTTCTGTCCTCAGGCCACTCAGTGTTGTGACGTGGATGATGTACCTCTCTCCTGGCTGCAGGTCCCTGTGGAAAAAGAAGGCAAGATGGGAAGGGGTAAACTGGGTAGCCCTGGAGGGCTGGCTTGATGCCCACCTGCTGCCCCACTCACAGGAAAGTGTACTTGGCCACACTGCTGTTCAGCTCCACCATGCGGTCTGCCAGGTCTCCCAGCTGGCGGATGGAGACACGCACCCTACTGACAGTGGAGTGCTTGAGCTGGTGGAGAGCCCATTGCACTGTGATAGTGCTGGCTGTCACGTTCATGATCTCAAAGCCTTCCACCGGACGCGGTCCTGGCCAGAGTAAGCAGAGAAGGCTGTGGGTCACTGGTCATCAATGGCTCACTGTCCTTTCCTCACATCTCCACAAGGGGAGTCCTGCCTGCCTCTCTGAACTGACATCCTCAGTGGGAGCAGCCAACACCACCTGTCCTGCTAGACTCATGCTCTCCCATCTTCACCATGTGCAGGCAAGCATAAGGTGCAGGCAAGCATAAGGTGCAGGCAAGCATAAGGTGCAGGCAAGCATGAGGCTCATCTGTCCCCCTGCCTGTAAGACCATGTGTCATCTGCAGCACCCTAGGGGCTGTCCTCCTCTGATCCTAGCCCCCTACCACCAGCTCCAAAAAGGGCCACAGTACCTGGGCCTGGCCCTAAGCACACATCCCAGGCAGCCATCCTGAGCCTGGCCTTCACTACATCAAGCATCTGGCCCTGCCTCAAGACCTGCCAGGATGCCATGGCCAGGGCTGTAGACCCCCACTGTGCCCAGCAGCACATGTGCCTTCTCCTCCCCTAGGCTTCACTTGGTCTCAGCCCACGTGGGGGGAAGTAGCCTGCAGGCCTTCCTACCACCATCCCCCACTTGTTAGAGGGCAACTTTTCTAGACCTAATCCCCTTCATCCTCAGTTTGTACTCAGCCTATCCTAGAAAGCGGGATCACAGCTGCTCCACCTGCCCGTGGCCCTCCAAGAGGCATCACCGTGCATCCCTCCCATACTTCCCTCATCCCTGCCGCCCTCTGCCCTCTCTGACACGTTCCCATGCCAATCATAGGGGAACAGCAAGGCAACTTTCCTACAGGGCTCACTGGTGGCAAAAACTGCCCTTCCCAGCTGGCATAGGGGCTTCTCCAGTTCAGCCAAGCTGCACTGGGGACCTCTGCTACCCTGGGCCCAGTGGCAAGGAGTAACTGGTGCAGCCTGGCCCTGATTAACAGGATCAGGGAGCAGTGACTGCTGGTGACTCCCCTACCAGTCCCTGGGCCGGGAGCCAGCGAGTCATGGTGGTTCAGTTCCCTTTTACTCACAGCAAAGAGAAAAGCAATTCTCTATGCCAAGCACCTTCCAAAGGACCCCCGCTTGATCAGTTTAGGATCTTCACCACCAAACCTGCAGGGTTCAGCACAGGCCCAGGCTGAGTCTGGAGCCAGTGGTGGAGAGGAGGCGGCACAAGCCCTGGCGCCTGCAGGGACCACACATGCTCATGACCACATTTCCCCCAGGGACACTACTCACTAGTGCGCGTGGTGAGCATGATGGGCCTGCTGATATCATTCTTGTTGTTCACGTTGCGTTTGACTGAAAAGACAGAAATATTGTAGGCTCTGCCGGAGGCTAGTGCCCGCAATTGGTGGGCAGAACGACTTCGGTCCACAAAATCTGTCCTGCGGTAAGAGCCGTCGAGGGATACGTACGTCACGGCGTAGCCGTCAATGAGTTGCCTGGCAGCTGTGTCCTCAGGTGGATGCCAAGAAATCAATACACCAGTGTCCTCCACCCTTTCCACCTTTAATGAGGTTGGTGGCAGCAATTCTTCAGGGTGTGGGCAAAAGCAAAGGGGAGAGGTAACGCCATGAATCTTTAGAGAACAGACCCTGGCAGCAAGAGGCAGAGCAGCAGTGATCAAGGATAGAGCCCTCACTCTCTCCCTTGGTGTGCCTGGCAGTGGCCCTGCAGGTGTCAGCAGTGGCCCAGTAGGCATGGGAGGAGCCAGGGCACTGGGAGCACTCCCAGGTGCTGCAACCTGACACCACCTGTGGCCAAGTGCTTGACACCGCCTGCCAGGCCTAGGGCGCCAGCAAGATGGGGCAAGAGGCCCTGAGGAGGCCAGCACCAGTGGCAAGAGGCTTCCCTCAGATGCCTCAGTCTCCCCTCCTGAGGGCATCCAAAGGATCACCATGGCTGCAGCGGGCCTGGGAACCTGTCTCCAGCATCCTCATGCTGAGCCTGGTGTCTGGAGCAGCAGCTCAGCGTGCCAGCACCTGCCCCCACAGCATCGGTGGGGCCCAAGCTGCCCTCCCCCACAGAGGCAAAGCCCCGCTCGCCTCAAGAATTGCTGCTGGTCCCAGATGGTGATGAGCCCCTCTCAGGAAGTGGCTACTGTTGAGTCTCATGCCACATCCCGGTGCGACTACTGAGGACCTTTACCTTTTTCGCAGCTCTTGCCTGTGTAGCTGACTTTGCAGGTACAGCCGTAGGTGCCATTACCAGGCAGGCAGTAGCCTCTGCTCCCACAGGGGCTGGGGAAGCACGGGGCACTGGGTGCG